ATGTTCCTCAGGGGGAGCAACTCCAAGGCACATGGTCATCGGATTCACCAGGGTTGAAATGAAGGAGAGAATGCTGGGGGCAGCCAGAGAGAAGGGTCGATTGCCCACAAAGGGAAGCCTATCAGACTTGCGGCAGATCTCTCAGCAGAAACCCTACAAGCCAGAAGAGAGTGGGGGCCAATATTCAACATCCTTGAAGAAAAGAGCTTTCAACCCAGAGTTTCACATCCAGCCAGGCTGGGCTTCACGAGTGAAAGAAAAATAGAGTTTTTTGTGAATAAGCAGGCACTCAGAGATTTCATCACCACCAGGCCTGCTTTACAAGAGCTTCTGGAAGAACCACTACACGTAGAAAGGAACAAACAGTATCAGCCTTTCTAAAAAAATTATCAAAAAGCATCAATATAATGAAGAATTTACATCATCATGGACAAAATAGCCAGCTAATGGCAGTATTAAACTCACACATATTATTATTAATTCTAAATTTAAATTGACTAAATACCTCAATCCAAAGACAGGCAATTTGAATAAAAAACTAAAACCCATCAGTATGCTGCATCCAGACCCATCTCACATTCAAGGATACACAAAGACTCCAAACAAGGGATGGAGAAAGATTTACCAACCAACCAGAGAGCTAAAATAAATAAATAAAAAGCAGAAGTTACAATTAAGCAACAAAGATCAAAAGAAGCAAAGAAGGACATTATATAATGATAAAAGGATCAATGCAACAAGAAGAGCTAAAGATCCTAAATATATACGCACCCAATACAGGAATACGCAGACATACAAGACTTATAGAGACTTAGACTCCCACATAATAATAGTGGGAGACTTCAACATTAATATTAGATCAATGAGACAGAAAATTAACAACGATATTCAGGACTTGAACTCAGATCTGGAACAAGTAAATGTAATTAACATTTTTAGAACTCTCCACTTTAAATACACGAAATATACTCTTATCAGCACCACATCATATCAACTTAGAAGTTTAAACGAAATGTCGGTTGGCTCCTTGTTTGTTATTCTCTTCCCTCATTTTCTTTCATGTCTCCATTATTAAGGACAATTATAGGCATACCCATATTTAGATTGCATTCTAGCCCGGGCAATAAAGCAATACCCCCATCCTCTCTCCCTCTTCCTCTTTCTCTTTCTTCCTCTTCTTTATTGTTTTTCAAAAAAAAAAAATGTTATTAGGATCACAACCTGTGTATCATTCTGCAGTGGGCCGTGATTTTCTTGTTAGAGCAGTAAATTACTTGAGCTCTAAGACAGACATTCCCTGTGTTCTTAGGTGAATGAATGTTCAGGCATTTGGTGTTATTGTTGTTTTCAGTCATCCCATAAAGAGAGTTTCACTGTGTTTTCTTAAGTAACACAGTATTTAAAATAGTTTTCCCTCGTGTAGCCATTCCTGCTGAATATATTTATTACTTCTTGTAAATATTTGGTTGATGCCCTTGGAGTTTCTTTCTATACAGTCATGTAATACACAAATAAGAAAAAGTCTTGCAATTATTAATAAAGTTATATACTTTTAAGCTATTTAAATTAATTTTTTTTTTGAAATGATGAAATAGTAAATTTGACTTTTGGGAGGTCATACAGTTCTGTGAAATTTAGCACATGAATAGATTTAGGTATCCACCATGAAGACCAGGTAGGATGCAGAACTCTTCAATTGCTCCAGGAAGCTCCCTGTGTGAGCCCACGGCAGTCCAGACCCTCAATCCGCAGTCACTCATTGGTTCGCCATTTCTGTGGTTTTGTCTGTTGGAGTAGGTCATATACATGCAAGATAAAAAAAGCACAAAGTTTTTCACAATCTGGAATTCACCCATCTCTGTAGTGAATCATTTGATTTTAGCTTAATTCCGCTTATCCTTCAAAACTCATGTCAAATGTCATCTCTCTGTCACCTGTCCCTGGACCTCTGCACTCTGCCAGTAAGTTGATGAAAAAAAAAAAAAAGAAGTTGGCCAGGTGTGGTGGTTCATGCCTACAATCCCAGCACTTCAGAAGTCTGAGGTGGGTGGATCACTTTAGGTCAGGAGTTCAAGACCAGCCTAGCCAACATAGCAAAACCCTATCTCTACTGAAAATACAAAAATTAGCCAGGTGGCACACACCTGTAATCCCAGCTACTTGGGAGACTGAGGCATGAGAACTGATTGAACCTGGGAGGATGGAAGTTGCAATGAGGCGAGATCACACCACTCCAGTCTGGGTGACAGAGTGAGACTCTGGCTTAAAAAAAAAAAAAAAAAGGCTGGGTGCAGTGGCTGAAATCTGTAATCCCAGCACTTTGGGAGGCCAAGGGGAGAGACGGATCACCTGAGGTCGGGAGTTCAAGACCAGCCTGATCAACATGGAGAAACTCCATCTCTACTAAACACTACAAAATTAGCCACGTGTGGTGGCACATGCGTGTAATCCCAGCTACTTGGGAGGCTGAGGCAAGAGAATTGTTTGGACCCGGGAAGCAGAGGTTGCGGTAAGCCAAGATCATGCCATTACACTCCAGCCTGGGCAACAGGAGCGAATCTCTGCATCAGAAAAAAAAAAAAAATGAATAATGCCAGGTGCAGTGGCTCACACATGCAATCCCAGCACTTTGAGAGGCTGAGTCAGGAGGATGGCTGGAGATCAGGAGTTCAAGACCAGCCTGGGCAACACAGTGTGACCTCCTGTCTACAAAAATAAAAAATTAGCTGAGCGTGCTAGCACACACCTATAGTCCCAGCTATTTAGGAGGCTGAGGTTGAAAGATTGCTTAAGCCTGGGAGATGGAGGCTGCAGTGAACTATGATCACACCACTGCACTCCAGCCTGGGTGACAGAGTAAGACTCTGTCTCAAAAAAAAAAAGGAAAAAATTTTTTTCATTTTTGGAATTGATACGGTTTGGCTGTGTCCCCACCCACATCTCATCTTGAATTGCAGTTCTTATAATTCCCATGCGTTGTGGGAGGGACCCAGTGAGACATAATTGAATCAGTTTCCCCTGTACTGTTCTCATGGTAGTGAATAAGTCTCATGAGATCTGATTTATAAGGGGAAACCCCTTTTGCTTGGTTCTCATTTTCTCTCATCTGCTGCCATACAAGACATGCCTTTTGCCTCCTGCTATGATTATGAGGCTTTCCCAGCCACGTGGAACTGGGAGTCCACTAATCTTCTTTTTCTTTATATATTACCCAGTCTCAGGTATTTCTGTTTCAGCAGTGTGAATATGGACTAATACAGAAATGCTGAAAGGACTGAAGACGCAGTAACATCCCAGTGGCACTAAGCACTCCAAGTACCCGCAACACGGCTCCTCGATACCATCCCCCACAAACATGGACCAGGGCTCCTGGGAGAAACGGCTGATCCCAGGGTTGTGATAGGGAAGGCACAAGATGGGCCTTGAATAGGTCAATCTGAACATCCCTTTACAAGACCCCTTTGTCAGGCTATCTGGGGTCATCCTCACATGCTCTCAGGCCATGTCTTGCACTCGTCTGAGTCTTCCGAGAACAAGGACTGTCTTTCCATTGATTTCCATGTACTATTGTGCCTTTCATGAAACACACATTTTTCTCTTTTCCTCCCAAAACCATACTTCCTGAAACACATTTTAAAGTTTTATCCCATACAGGTTTAACATGTCTCCGGTTTATTCCTAAGTGTTTTGTCTTTATTGTTGCTCTAAATGGAGTTTTCCTCTTCCATTACATCTCTGATTATTGATTATGGGAATGAAGGCTTTTGATCATTAGTTTTATATACTATTATCATACTATGTTCTCTGAGGAGGTATGCATGTTTTATAATAAGGAGTTATATCACTCACTTCCTACTTTATTGAACCCTAAATTACAGATATCTGAGATATGAAACTTTTTTTTTTTTGAGACAGAGTCTCACTCTCTTGCCCAGGCTGGAGTGCAGTGGCATGATCTCGGGTCACTGCAGCCTCCACCTCCCAGGCTCAAGCAATTCTCCTGCCTCAGCCTCCCAAGTGGCTAGGACTATAGGTGCCCACCACCATGCCTGGCTGATTTTTGCATTTTTAGTAGAGGCAGGGATTCACCATGTTGGCCAGGCTGGCCTTGAACTCCTGACCTCAGATGATTTATCCACCTTGGCCTCCCAAAGTTCTGGGATTACAAGTGGCCACCCCCATGCCTGGCCAATTTATTTTTAGTAGAGATGGGATTTCATTATGTTAGGCTGGTCTTGAACTCCTGACTTCAGTGATCTATCCGCCTCGGCCTCCCAAAGTGCTGGTATTACAGCTGTGAGCCACCACGCCTGGCTGTTACTAGCTGTTTGTTTGTTTTTTTTTTTTGAGACGGAGTTTCGCTCTTGTTACCCAGGCTGGAGTGCAATGGCGCGATCTCGGCTCACCGCAACCTCCGCCTCCTGGGTTCAGGCAATTCTCCTGCCTCAGCCTCCTGAGTAGCTGGGATTACAGGCACACGCCACCATGCCCAGCTAATTTTTTTGTATTTTTAGTAGAGACGGGGTTTCACTATGTTGACCAGAATGGTCTCGATCTCTTGACCTCGTGATCCACCCGCCTCGGCCTCCCAAAGTGCTGGGATTACAGGCTTGAGCCACCGCGCCCAGCCACTAGCTGTTTTAGTAAGACCATAAACCATAGCTGATCAACCCAACTGTTGCAAAATGCTCTTCACCATGTCCCAAGATCTCTGACCCTGAAATTGGATGAAGCTGGCTTTTTCTGTTTATAGCAAAGCTGGTTTTCTCCACTTCAGCTTTCTTCCTACACACCTCACCTCACACCTTGGATGCCTGTTGTATGCTTATACTAGGCTCCAGGATGTGGTGCCCCTCCTGTTGCAGAACACTGCATGTGTGGCACTCAGTTCAGCTGTCTTCTTGGTAGGCCACGGAGCACCAAGACTGGTCGGGTTTCTGACATTTGAACAAGTTGAGGAACCACTGCTTCAGACAGAGCTGCCAAGATTGACCTTCCTCTATGAGACCCAGGGGTGTAGCACAATGATGGACGGGCTTGGCTCCTACAGAACAGAGAATCAGAGGGTGCTTGTGATGGACAAAGTGTGGGTGCCACAGAAGTCCCTGGAACTGAGCACACTCCCGGCCGAGCAACAGGCCCAAGTCACCCCTGCAGACGATCACAGCACTCAGCATTGTGTGCACACTGACGCCAGCTTGTTTAATGGTCCATTTTATCTCTGTCCTGGAAGCCCATAAGCTTTCTACCCGATTGCCATAGAAACATTAGCCTTTCTAATTGTCCTCACGCTCCAGGGACTGTTTAAGTGAAACCAGGAGAGGGAACACTGGCCCATCAAGAGCCTCCTTTGGGTGGACTGCTGTTTCATTTGTTTTCTTCTTATGATTCACCACAGCACAGCTATCTGCAGAAAAATGAAACAAACAGAATGTAAAATTAGAGAGCTACTCTGCTGTGGGCACTTTAATAAAAATTTTTTTAAACGGCAATTTTTTTTTTTTTTTTTTTTTTTTTTGAGACAAGAGTCCGCTCTGTTACCCAGGCTGGAGTGCAATGGCACGATCTTGGCTCACTGTAACCTCCATCTCCTGGGTTATAGAGCATTCTCCTGCCTCAGCCTCCCAAGTAGCTGGGATTACAGGCATGCCCCACCACACCCAGTTAGATTTTTTTTGTATCTTTAGTAGAGACCAGCCAGGTCTCTTCACCATATTGGCCAGGCTGGTCAACTCCTGACCTCGTGATCTGCCCGCCTGAGCCTCCTGAAGTGCTGGGATTACAGGCGTGAGCCACTGCGCCCGGCCAAAAAAGGCCACTTTAAAAGGTATTTGTATGTAGCATGCATGAATTGCAAGAAAACCTTAGCTTTTAATGTGTTCTAAGATTATATCATAATGTAGCTCACGAGTGTGTGCAGCCTCAACACTGGGTGTCAATAAAGTCTCCCCATCCTGACGTTGCAGCAATGTGGGGTAGAAATCAAAGGACAACACCCTTAAACAAAAGAAATGTAAAGCAGGGCCAGGCACTCACACCTGTAATCCCAGCACGTTGAGAGGCTGAGGTGGGAGGATCACTTGAGCCCAGGAATTGGACACCAGCCTGGGCAACATAGCAAGATCCCAACTCCACAAAAAATTTAAAAATTAGTAGGGCATCATGGAGTGCACCTGTAGTCTCAGCTACTTGGGAGGCTGAGGTGAGAGGACTGCTTCAACCCAGAAGGTCAGGGCTGCAGCGAGCCATGATGACGCCACTGTATTCTAGCCTGGGCAACAGAGCAAGGCTGTCTCTATATAAGACAGACAAAAATGAAAAACTGCAAAAAAACATCTCACAGCATTCAACTACTCTCTTGGCCAATACACTCTCCTCTTTGCTTTATTCACCTTGTATAATTCGCTGTGATTATACATTTTTAATATAACTTCAGCAAAATAAAGTAAATCAACCTTTATTTGCAAAGACTTCATATGCAACCAAGCAGAGAAGTCAGAGCAGTTTCCCTGTCACTGGGATCCCTAGAACACAATGCTCCTCTCAAGACATTTGCAATATTGAAGGCCAGGCACCATGGCTCACCCCTGTAAGCCCAGCACTTTGGGAAGCCAAAGTGGAAAGGTCACTTGAGCCCAGGAGTTCAAGACCAGCCTGGGCAACATAGTGAGACCCTGTCTTTATTTTAAAAAATATATATATTTTAACTAGCTGGGCATGGTGGTACATACCTGTAGTCCTGGCTACTTAGGAGGCTGAGGTGGGAGCTTCACTCAAGCCTGGTAGTTCAAGGCTACAGTGAGCCATGAATGCCCTACTGCACTCCAACCTGGGTGACAGAGCGAGACTTGTCTCAAAAGAAACACAAAGACATTTACGATACTCAGTGGATGTGAAATATCCTAATTCTTAAGCTTAACATTTGCAAAACTAGGGCTATTTCAGCCACTGAGCTATTTTAGGAACTCATTTCAGAATTGATCTTTCAAGTGTGGTTTTAGGCTTACTGCAAAGAATACATCTGGAAGGTTCATGCAGAGTACATTTAAAAATATCCCCAATCCCTTTTAACTTTGTTAACCTAGAGAAACTGAGTTAGGATTGACGGCCTGGTTATATCCGTCCTTCCTGTGATGCTGGACCTCATTTCTCACCAGGAATCTGGATGCTGTCAACCCTCACCTGATTCAGACAAAGGTCTTCTGGGGGCATCTTGTGACAATGTTTGATCCTGTAGTCCGTAAACCAGACAGGAAGTAGCAGCCAGGCTTCCCAGGCTCCCACGCAAGATGCTGGGCATTAGGAACCACAACATGGCTCCGGGCCCTGCCCAGGAAAACCAGTGATGTCAGCCAAAGTCCAGCTCGGGACAAGGAAAGCCCCCGAGGCATGGAGTGAGGACACGTCGTGCTTCCCCCGCTGCAGGCAGGTGGGATGAAGACATCAGATGCCAGGCACCGACTGCAAGCCTGTCCAACCCAGCAAGAAAAAATGTTAAGCATCTGCAAACATCTGCTCCCGCCACCATACCAGCCCAGGTCCAAATCCGCCTCCAAAAAGACAGGGCCCACCAGTGACCTCAACAGTTGACTGACACTCGAGCCAGCAGGGCCACGGCCGACTTGCCTGCTCTCAGTGGCGCTCTGGGAACACCTTGATTTCCATCAGTGATGTCTCGGGGTCCATCAGCTTTTTTTTTGAGAAGGGTCTCACTCTGTCATCCACACTGGAGTGCAGTGGCACAATCATGAGTCACTGCAGCCTTGAAGTTCTGGGCTCAAATGAGCCTCCCACCTCTGCCTCCCGAGTTGGTGAGACTACAGGCACACACCACCACACCTGGCTACTTTTTGTATTTTTGGTAGAGACAGGGTTTTGCCATGTGGCCCAGGCTGGTCTCAAACTTCTGGGTTCAAATGATCCATTGGCCTTGGCCTCCCAAAGTTTTGGGATTACAGGTGTGAGCCACTACGCCTGGTCTATGTTGGGAAAAGCAGCAGAGGAGAAAGGACTGACAGAGTGCCTACATAAATTCGTTTTGAGTAACACATAAACAACAACAAACTGCGGACAGCCACAGGAGGCCTCTGAGGAGGAAGGCCTCTCCACGCCTCGTGTTCTGGTGCAGGGTGACCTCGGCTCTGTTACCAAAAACATTGTGCTCGAGGATGTAAAACCCCTTTGTAACACTATGACATGGCCAGACTTGTAGGCTGCTTGTAGGCTCTGGCATTCCATCAGCTGCACATAGATAATAAACTAAAGAAAAAAAAAAAAAAAGATGACCACGTGTTCTTGTTTTGTGAAACTCGCAGAGCGCTACTGTTATCGATCGTCAGAGTGACACAGCATTTCTAGTTCACTGATTCACTCCCGGCTCACTGATCACTCCAGCATCACCCTCTCCCTACCATCACTCCGCCCCTACCCTGTAGATCAAAGTGATTATGATCAATAGTGTGGATGATCAGAACTTGGGGCCTTCACTGTTGCCTCCGGAGTAATAAGGTGACAGCCCCCTGGTCCCACTTTTTCTCTTAATCTTTTTCTCATTCCTTTGTCGCCACCAAACTTGGGGTACCCATGGGTGATGTAGGGCTGGCTCCCTACAGGCCTAGCTCTTAAGTTTTATACTTCAGGACTCCATCAAATCGAAGACACAAAACCCAACACATGAACCAGACACCACCCCTCCCACTGAGAAAATGCGCCAGGGCTGTCTGGCCTTTAATGGGGGTGCTAGACAACGCCATCCGATAGGGACAGAACCAAGCTGACCACCCAGTTTCAAAATCGTGAGCAACCACAGTAAAACCAAACAAGTGAAAATAATTTTAATGTTTTATTAACCTAGCATATCCAAAATATTATTTCAACATGTAAATAATACTTTTTAATCTTCAGGCCTTGGTTTTATTTGCATTTCTAGAAATATATAAACAGTTGCTACTCTATACTACCAAAAATTACACAGCAGTCCCGCTTTATCCTCTGGGGTTCTGTTCCAAGCCTCCCAGTGGATGCCTGGACCCCACTCTACAATATAGGCAACATATAAACAATACCTTTAACAGTGAGAGAGATATATAAATATTTGGTATTGCCTCCAAACTCTAGTGTGTTTTGGATATACCTTTTTTTTTTTTTTTTTTTTAGACAGAGTCTCCCTCTGTGGGCCAGGTGGAATGCAATAGCACAATCTTAGCTCACTGCCACCTTCCCCTCCCGGGTTCAAGCAATTCTCCTGACTCACGAGTAGCTAGAATTATAAGTTCCCGCCACTGTGCCTGGCTAATTTTGGCCTTTTTAGAAGAGACAGATTTCACTATGTTGGCTAGGCTGGTGTCAAACTCCTGACCTCAAGTGATCCACCTGCCTTAGCCTTCCAAAGTGCTGGGATTACAGGTGTTAGGCATCACACCTGGCCTTGTTTTTTTTTTTTTTTCTTTTTTCTTTTTAATGAGACAGAGTCTTGCTCTGTCACCCAGGCTGCAGTGCAGTGATGTGATCACAGCTCACTGTAGCCTTGACCTCCCCAGGATCAGGAGATCCTCCTAACTGAGGCCACATGCACACATTGCCACACCCGGCTTTTTTTTTTTTTTTTTTTTTTTTTTGAGAAATGAGGTCTTACTACATTGCCCACTCCTGCCTCGAATGTCTGGGCTCAAGCAATCCACCCACCTCGGCCTCCCAAGGTGTTGGGATTACAAGCATGAGCCTGGGGCTGGCTGGATACATCTCAATTTGGACATTAAATTTTCAGAATGTTGTTTCTCAAGACTTTAAATATTAAAAACATTTTTTCATTAGAACACCTGACCTATATTTAGATTTCACAAAGTTCACAGTTCACATACCCAAGTTCCTAACATACTACATTTTCCAATGACTGAACCAAGTTAGTGGTTTTTAAACTTAATCACACGGAACCCTGTTGTGCTGACTGCACTTCCAGAGTTCCACAGCATGTGTGGGCGGCAGAGGATGTGCTGGAGACGCAGGAAAGCGGCTTATCCAAGTGCAGTTCCAGACCAGACCCGTCACCTGGGCAGCTCCAAGTGCAAACCTGAGTCCATCTCAGAATCAGGGCCTCGGGTGGGGTCCAGCGCCCTCCTGTAAGGAGCCCCGTGTTCTGACACAGGCCTAGGATAGACACCATAGAATAAGATAGTGCAGTCACGTCACCTAGCATCAGGGATGTGCCGTGGTCAGGTGATGTCATTGCTGTGCAAACATCCTAGAATGACTTACACAGAGCTCGATGGTGCTGCCTCCTCCACACCTAGGCTGTAAGGCCGAGGCTACAAACGTGTGCAGAGCGCGAGTGTGCCGAGTGCTGTGTGCCACTGTGGCACAGTGCTGCCCGTTTGCGCTTCTAAACCTAGACATGGGGCAGTCCACCTTGCTAAGAGGATTACATCCCAGTGTTCTGAGGTACTGCAGGGTGACTAGCTTGTTTATTTTTTTTGAGATGGAGTCTCACTCTGGCCCCCAGGCTGGAGTGCAGTGGTGCAATTTTGGCTTACTGCAAACTCTGCCTCCCAGGTTCAAGCAATCCTCCTGCTCCAGCCTCCCAAGTAGCTGGGATTACAGGAGCACCACCACACCCAGCTAAGTTTTGTAATTTTAGTAGAGATGGGGTTTCACCACATTGGTCAGGCTGGTCTGGAAACTCCTGGCCTCAAGGAATCCACCTGCCTCGGCCTCCCAAAGTGCTGAGATTGCAGGCATGAGCCACCAGGACCAACCCCTTATTTTTAAATAGCTAGAAGAGCAGATCTCCAATGTTTCCAAAACAAAGAAATAAGTGTTCGAGGTGACAAATATGCTAATTACTCTGACTTGGTAACAGTCTACATGTATCCAAATATGACAATGTAACCTCATCAATATGTACAATTATGTCAATTGAGAGCAAAAGTTTGTGTCAGATTAAAACAAAAAGGTACAGTGAAAATATAGCATCATCTTTGCAATCATCAGCGTATACATGGCCAGTCATTGACAGAAACACTGCTGGCTTGACTGCAATTTCAATCACCTTTTGCAGAACAGAACTGCATACAAACCCTTCCTGTTACATTTTTTGACTGTGAAACCAGAAAAAAAAATTCAGTGGCTTTTATTTTTGTAGTCTCAGCGGGATGTGTAGTGGGCACAGTCAGGTGGCCAGGGTGTAAAGTGTCCCAGTGGGATGTGTGGTGGGCACAGCCAGGTGGCCAGGGTGTACACTATCTTAGTGGGATGTGTGGTGGGCACAGCCGCGTGGCCAGGGTGTAAAATGTCTCAGTGGGATGTGTGGTGGGCACAGCCACGTGGCCAGGGTGTAAAATGTCTCAGTGGGATGTGTGGTGGGCATAACTGCGTGGCCAGGGTGTACACTGTCTCAGTGGGATGTGTGGTGGGCAGAGCTGTGTGGCCAGGGTGTACACTGTCTCTGCGGGATGTGGTGGGCACAGCCAGGTGGCCAGGGTGTAAAGTGTCCCGGTGGGATGTGTGGTGGGCACAGCTGCACGACCAGGGCAGTTCAGAATGAACTCAGGGGAATTTTGTTTTGCCCTATTTCCTCCCACCCACTAAGGTCCTAGGAAATCTCTGCACTCTTGAAGTGAACAGCGGCTGTCAGTATAAATTTAAGACCAGTATTTGTTAACCCTGCTCATTGCTTCACAAAATCACAGACAGTGGTGGAAAGTGTCAGGCCACGAAGGATGCACCCGTCTTTCATCTAAGCCACGAAGGACTGCGGCTCTCACACCCCAGCTTACCCTCCTTCACCCCACTGTTTTTTCTGCTCTTCAAACCTGTAACACCATTACTTGAGGAAGCCCTACTGCCTGCTCTTGTAGTTTAAAGTCACTTCTGCAAGTTTCCACTGCTTCATCACTAGATAGAGACATGTTCAATAGGTGGCATTTTGCAACTTTCTTCTTGGTGTTGAAATCATGTCCAGACACAAAAAAGCTGTCTCTCAGGCTAGCTGGCTGCTGACAACGATGCCTGTTGTTGTTGTTGTTGTTGCTGAGACGGGGTGTTGCTCCGTCTCCCAGGCTGGAGTGCAATGGTGTGATCTCGGCTCACTGCAACCTCTGCCTCCCGAATTCAAGTGATTCTCCTACCTCAGCCCCCTGAGTAGCTGGGATTACAGGCATTCACCACCATGCCCAGCTGAATTTTTTTTTTTTTTTTTTCATTTTTAGTAGAGACAGGGTTTTACCATGAAGGCCAGGCTGCTTGAACTCCTGACCTCAGGTGATCCACTCTCCTCGGCCTCCCAAAGTGCTGGGATTACAGGCGTGAGCCATCGCACCCAGCCAAACTGTGCCTGTTTTAAGAAGTCAGCTGTGGCAGAAACAAGTGATCCAGGAAGACATACCTTCTCACACAGCGAGTCCCATCCCCTTGGGAGTCAGGCACAGGCACACAGCTGTGCCCTCCAGGAATCTGAGTAGCATGCTATGGCCTG